TTTGGCCAATGTCTTCTTCACCTCCTGCATTAGGTTGCCTTCTTCAGGTAGTTTCATCATTGCTTCAATAATGCCACCTTTAGCTTTCACATACTGCTCAAACCATTTTGCTTTGCTTTTTCCAAATTGGTTCTATTTTGACTTGTCTTGTTGCCATTGAAATTGTTGTCTTTTTGCATAACTTGTCAAAGTGTGCATCTCCAGAACTAAGACAACTGTGATACATGAACCATAATACAGTAGGTCTAGGGTGATACATGAGCCATAATACAGTAGGTCTGGGGTGATACATGAACCATAATACAGTAGGTCTAGGGTGATACATGAGCCACAATACAGTAGGTCTAGGTGATACATGAACCATAACAGTAGGTCTAGGGTGTACATGAACCATAATACAGTAGGTCTAGGGTGATACACTGAACCATAATACAGTAGGTCTGGGGTGATACATGAAACATAATACAGTAGGTCTAGGGTGATACATGAACCATAATACAGTAGGTCTAGGTGATACATGAACCATAATACAGTAGGTCTAGGTGATACATGAACCATAATACAGTAGGTCTGGGGTGATACATGAACCATAACAGTAGGTCTGGGGTGATACATGAACCATAATACAGTAGGTCTAGGGTGATACATGAACCATAATACAGTAGGTCTGGGGTGATATGAAACATAATACAGTAGGTCTGGGGTGATACATGAACCATAATACAGTAGGTCTAGGTGATACATGAACCATAATACAGTACTGTACAGCAGAGAGTGTACAGCAGAGGTACAGCAGCAGAGTGTACAGCAGCAGAGTGTACAGCAGAGGTACAGCAGCAGAGTGTACAGCAGCAGTGTGTACAGCAGCAGAGTGTACAGCAGCAGAGTGTACAGCAGCAGAGTACAGCAGCAGAGTGTACAGCAGCAGAGTGTAGCAGCAGCAGTGTACAGCAGCAGAGTGTACAGCAGCAGAGTGTACAGCAGCAGGTGTACAGCAGCAGAGTGTACAGCAGCAGAGGTACAGCAGCAGTGTGTACAGCAGCAGAGTCAGCAGCAGGTACAGCAGCAGTGTAGCAGCAGAGTGTACAGCAGCAGTGTGTACAGCAGCAGAGTGTACAGGCAGTGTGTACAGCAGCAGAGTGCAAGCAGAGTGTACAGCAGCAGTGTGTACAGCAGCAGAGTGTACAGCAGCAGTGTGTACAGCAGCAGAGTACAGCAGCAGAGTGTACAGCAGCAGTGTGTACAGCAGCAGAGTACAGCAGCAGAGTGTACAGCAGCAGAGTGTGTACAGCAGCAGTGTGCAGCAGCAGAGTGTACAGCAGCAGTGTACAGCAGCAGAGGTACAGCAGAGTGTACAGCAGCAGAGTGTACAGCAGAGTGTACAGGCAGAGTGTACAGCAGCAGGTGTACAGCAGAGTGTACAGCAGTGTGTACAGCAGCAGTGTACAGCAGCAGAGTGTAGCAGCAGCAGAGTGTACAGCAGTGAGTGTACAGCAGCAGAGTGTACAGCAGCAGTGTGTACAGCAGCAGAGTGTACAGCAGTGTGTGGCAGCAGAGCACACAGCAGAGTGTACAGCAGCAGTGTACAGCAGCAGAGTGTACAGCAGCAGAGGCAGCAGCAGTGTGTACAGCAGCAGAGTGTACAGCAGCAGAGTACAGCAGCAGAGTGTACAGCAGCAGAGTGTACAGCAGCAGAGTGTACAGCAGCAGTATAGCAGCAGCAGAGTGTACAGCAGCAGAGTGTACAGCAGCAGTGTGTACAGCAGCAGTGTGTGCAGCAGCAGTGTGTACAGCAGCAGAGTGTACAGCAGCAGAGTGTACAGCAGCAGAGTGTACAGCAGCAGTGTGTTCCAGCAGCAGTGTGTGTACAGCAGCAGAGTGTACAGCAGCAGTGTGTACAGCAGCAGAGTGTACAGCAGCAGAGTGTACAGCAGCAGTGTGTACAGCAGCAGTGTGTACAGCAGCAGAGTGTACAGCAGCAGGTACAGCAGCAGAGTGTACAGCAGCAGAGTGTACAGCAGCAGTGTGTACAGCAGCAGTGTGTACAGCAGCAGTGTGTACAGCACCAGTGTGTACAGCAACAGGTGTACAGCAGTAGTGTATAGCAGGAGAGTGTACAGCACCAGTGTGTACAGCAGCAGTGTGTACAGCAGCAGAGTGTACAGCACCAGTGTGTACAGCAGCAGAGTGTACAACACCAGTGTGTACAGCAGTAGTGTAAAGCAGAGAGTGTACAGCAGCAGTGTGTACAGCACCAGTGTGTACAGCAGCAGAGTGTACAGCACCAGTGTGTACAGCAGCAGAGTGTACAACACCAGTGTGTACAGCACCAGTGTGGCAGCAGCAGAGTGTACAGCACCAGAGTGGCAGCAGCGTGGACAGCAGCAGAGTGTACAGCACCAGTGTGCAGCACCAGTGTGTACAGCACCAGTGTGTACAGCACCAGTGTGTACAGCAGCAGAGTGTACAGCACGAGAGTGTACAGCAGCAGCGTGGACAGCAGCAGAGTGTACAGCACCAGTGTGTACAGCACCAGTGTACAGCAGCAGTGTGTACAGCAGCAGTGTGTACAGCAGCAGAGTACAATGAGACAAACTCACATGAAGATTACATATATGTGGAATATTGATAGTAAGAGAAATGTAAAGAGAAGAAGACTTTGGTGGCGTGGCCGTGTTAGTTATTGACTCTGTTAATACACTTAACTTATCTTATGTGTCAATACACATCTATTACGTCTTAAGGACGACCTCTCAAACACCGCTTCGTTACAACTGTTTATTAATTACGACAATGACGTGGACACATTAATAACACCTTCCATTGAAGTTACTAGGACATCATATTACGTTACTAGACACTGATTCTCGGACACGAACATGAAATGAATACACTTCCCACGTAAGTAACTCATCCCATGGAAAGGTCTGACAAACACTCACGTGACCTAGGGGAGGCCTAGCAGGTGGTCCTGGTGTCTCTCTATGGAGATGCTTAGCTGGGCACTGGAGGGAAGTCTTGCGTGACTCTCCTCCCGTGGCGGACTGGGCTGTGGTGAACCTCCTCCGATCCCTGTGTGTCTCTCTCTCCCCAACTCTGTCTCTCTGACACTCTCTCGTGAGGGAGGACTAGGACGTCCTATATATTGGGAGGCGAGACGTCAGGTTGAGCTGATCGGGGCCCTTACATTTGCCCTCGCTAATGTAGGGTCAAGTCTGACTTTTCTGGAGACTATAAGTTGTTGTATATTCTGGAGAAATCTTCAGATGAATGCTTGCTTGTTTACATCGTTGGGGGGCCGTGTGACATGAGAGGCTCTGGTTGATTTGTGGCCCCTTGACTTGGGCTCGAGGGTTACATTTGACCTATATGAGGTTAGGTCTGAGCCTTGTCTGAGATGTACTGTAGTTGTGTATATTGGGAGAGAGTCGGCAGGTGGCTTCTTACATGTTTGTTGGGGCCGTGTGACGTGGGAAGGGGAGCTAGTTGATTTGTAACTCCTTGAGTGGCCGCGAGTGTTACCCTTACACTTGACCCCCCTAATGTCGGGTCAGGTCTGGACTGTTTCTGAGCTGTAAGCTGTGGTCTGACAACCCATCACTACAAGAGTGTACAGCAGTAGTGTGAAGCAGCAAAGTGTACAGCAGCAGAGTGTACAGCAGCAGAGGTACAGCAGCAGAGTACAGCAGCAGAGTGTACAGCAGCAGAGTGTACAGCAGCAGTGTGTACAGCAGCAGAGTGTACAGCAGCAGCAGAGTGTACAGCAGCAGAGTGTACAGCAGCAGAGTGTGTAAGCAGCAGAGTGTCACAGTGTGTCAGCAGCCGCGGAGCAGCAGTCAGCAGCAGAGTGTACAGCAGCAGAGTGTACAGCAGCAGAGTGTACAGCAGCAGTGTGTACAGCAGCAGTGTGTACAGCAGCAGGTGTACAGCAGCGGTGTCAGCGGTCAGCGTGTCATCAGTGTGTCAGCAGCGTCGGCAACTTTTATAATTTCATCTTATATTTTTGTTAATAAGTTTAACATAATAGTGAGAATGATTCTTTGACAAGAACATTGTTTACTTATTACAGTGAACTACAGTACTGTAGGTGTGTTGTGTGAACTACAGTACTGTAGGTGTGTTGTGTGAACTACAGTACTGTAAGTGTGTTGTGTGAACTACAGTACTGTAGGTGTGTTGTGTGAACTACAGTACTGTGTGTTGTGTGAACTACAGTACTGTAAGTGTGTTGTGTGAACTACAGTACTGTAAGTGTGTTGTGTGAACTACAGTACTGTAGGTGTGTTGTGTGAACTACAATACTGTAAGTGTGTTGTGTGAACTACAGTACTGTAGGTGTGTTGTGTTGTGTGAACTACACTACTGTAGGTGTGTTGTGTGAACTACAGTACTGTAAGTGTGTTGTGTGAACTACAGTACTGTAGGTGTGTTGTGTTGTGTGAACTACAGTACTGTAGGTGTGTTGTGTGAACTACAGTACTGTAAGTGTGTTGTGTGAACTACAGTACTGTAAGTGTGTTGTGTGAACTACAGTACTGTAGGTGTGTTGTGTTGTGTGAACTACAGTACTGTAGGTGTGTTGTGTGAACTACAGTACTGTAGGTGTGTTGTGTGAACTACAGTACTGTAAGTGTGTTGTGTGAACTACAGTACTGTAGGTGTGTTGTGTTGTGTGAACTACAGTACTGTAGGTGTGTTGTGTGAACTACAGTACTGTAGGTGTGTTGTGTGAACTACAGTATTGTAAGTGTGTTGTGTGAACTACAGTACTGTAAGTGTGTTGTGTTGTGTGAACTACAGTACTGTAGGTGTGTTGTGTGAACTACAGTACTGTAGGTGTGTTGTGTGAACTACAGTACTGTAGGTGTGTTGTGTGAACTACAGTACTGTAAGTGTGTTGTGTGAACTACAGTACTGTAAGTGTGTTGTGTGAACTACAGTACTGTAGGTGTGTTGTGTTGTGTCGGTCTGTACATACCAATAACTATTCTCTCTTACAGATCATGGCCAGAAGCATCCTCAGACTGAATGGTGTAGGATTCAACTCTTACTTCATGTCGTACTTCGTCGTGTTGGGTGCCATATACATGGTGTCTTACCTGGGTCTACTCATCGTCATCGCTGCATTTCAAGTGCCATCACTCATTATACCACAAGCCTTTGCTGCCATTGCTATCTTGTACTTGCTGTACATACCATGCTCCTTACTCTACTCTGTGGTCTTCTGCTACATTTTTGATAAATCAGAAACTGCCAGACAGTTTTATCCAAATATGTGCACTACAGTAGGAATGGTGGCTTATACTATTGTGTCTCTTGTTGACATATTGGTGGTAGGGATTGACAAAGACAATAAATCTAGCCTTATAGTGCATACAGTTTTCACTGTAGTGTTACCTAATTATATACCATTTGGCCTTATGTATTTTATAAATAAGGTTTACATTGACTGTTCAGTCAAAGGTAACTGTGGTGATCTTACATTTGACAACTACTTTACACCAGAGATAGTTGTTCTTTTTGTGGTAGTTTTGATAGACATTCCTTTCTATTATATCCTCTTGAGAATTGCAGATACACTCAAGTTTGGGGGCAGCTGGCGTGAAGCTCTGTGGATGGTGAGTACCGTACTTTATATGTGACTATAGTATTTCCACACCAACCTGGCGTCTCTACCCTTCTCTAAAAATAGCTGATTGGTTAATAGGAAATGTTTATGTAGCTGTCCATTTAATCAAACTAAATGTGTTCAGAATTAGTAAGCAGATCTGTTATTCTCCAAAATATTGTTAAATATCTGGACTATCAAAATGCAAATGATTTCAAGGCATTAGCACTTCAGAAAGGATGTTAGAAAATTTTAAATATTTATTATAAAAGGTCAAAGTCAAAGATGAATTTGTTTTCAAATGAAGTCTTTTCATTATTTCTTTGTTTTGTACCAAACATAAAACAAACAGAAACAAATGATACCAAACATACAACACAATAGGTAATGAACTACAGTTTGTAGAGCTGGATGTATCCCCAATAATTTATATGACATAAAACTTGATAAGAGTCAATATAAACCTGCACAGTCCAGGGGAGGTAATATGTAGAGATTACTGTGAGTGATCCAAGTTTATTATGAGGGCTTCAAGTGATATGAAGCACCTGTACAGGGGGTCCCTCACTTACCAACACCACTGATAGAGGGCTTCAAGTGATATGAAGCACCTGTACAGGGGGTCCCTCACTTACCAACACCACTGATAGAGGGCTTCAAGTGATATGAAGCACCTGTACAGGGGGTCCCTCACTTACCAACACCACTGATAGAGGGCTTCAAGTGATATGAAGCACCTGTACAGGGGTCCCTCACTGACCAACACCACTGATGGGGGCTTCAGAGTGATGCGAGCACCTGTACAGAGTCCCTCACTTACCAACACCACTGATAGAGAGGGCTTCAAGTGATATGAAGCACCTGCAGGGGTTCCTCACTTACCAACACACCACTGATGGGGCTTCAAGTGATACTTAGAGCACCTGTGGGGGTCCCTCACTGACCAGCCTACACTGATAGGGGCTTCAAGTGATGTGACACCTGCTTGGGGGGTCCCTCGCCTGCCCACCACTGATAGGGGCTTCAGAGTGATATGAAGCACCTGTACAGGAGGGTCCCTCGCCACCAACACACCACTGATGGGGCTTCAAGTGATATGAAGCACCTGTACAGGGGGTCCCTCACTTACCAACACCACTGATAGAGGGCTTCAAGTGATATGAAGCACCTGTACAGGGGGTCCCTCACTTACCAACACCACTGATACAAATAAGGTTAAACTTTACATTTACAGTACAGTATTTTATTTACCTGATGACCTATTTTTTTAATTGAATTTACTGTACGTATTTTGTCATTCTATTTCTTCTTTTTCTTAAATTAAGTGATTTTAGTTGTATATAAGGACTCAGGCAATGATATAGTGGGATTTTAAACATTGTTCTGTAAGTTTAGTGTGCACATAGAATGTGTTCCAGCTAAGGTACATTTTCACCTTTAGAACGTCCTCAGGAACGGAACCCGTTCATAACCCGGGGACTCCCTGTTTGTTCCAGTGTATAGATTAGCTAAGTGTCTTTCAAATGTTTACTTCATGAACTTTATGTTAACTATTATAAGTTTAACAGAGGGTTGTTCACCCCGTTGGTGTCATGAGGTCAGTTGCCTTTTCCCTTTGTCATAATACTTGTTTTTCTTACTCCATTTCCAGAAGGAATCAAAAGTAGGAACTGTGAATGAGATTAATGAGCAAGGGATTGATGCTCCAGCGGGTGAAGATGATGATGTAAAGGAGGAACGTACAAATGTTGCCGCTGCCATGAGAGATGGTGATAGGTCTTCTCCAGTGCTCATTTATGTAAGTGTACAGTACAAAACTTGGACCAATATTTGGACATTTACACTAAGGTTTGTGGTTGGAGATCCTACTTGAGGTATAGTACAGTAGTGCCACATGATATATCATTTATGAACAAGTTATAACTGTTCATATATCAGGCTTTGTGAACTTTGGCTACATCTTTCAGTTATAATGAACTACAGCTTTATGTATAAATTAAAAAAAAAATTAAAAAAAGGTAGTTTTTGTCACAGGTTTAAAATATACCTGAAATCAATGAAACATTTTCAAAGATGACGGCCCAAATGGTACTTAGCTGGCAATCTGAGATGGCCATCACATGAGTCCCTACAGGTGACACTTGGGGGCTAAACTATAGTTAGCACTTGGGGTCTAACCTATACAATGGTCCCTCGGTTAACGAACACAATTTGTTCCAGAAGGTCGTTCGTTAACTGAATTCATTGTTTCAATGGGATTTTGGGTAATCGGTTCCAGCTCACCGAAAATTACATACAAAGTAAAAATAAATGACAGTAAAGTACACTTACTTTGAGGTGTGTATGTAGAAGGTTCCTGGTTGATGATGATGATGATAGGAATTAGAAGTGGGGGTGGAGGAGAAATTACCTTTCAGTGGACCCATGCTTGACGACGTCATTTCACCCAAAAAATTTAAATTCACTTGGTGTAATTCAAGATTATATTCTTTAAATCAACACTGCACTGTGCTATATATTATTGATATGTTAATTAAAGTTCAGAATGACCAATAATTTCAATAAAAAATGCAAAAATATTCAAGACACCAACAAAATAGATGTTCACTCCACTGTCAACAGAGCCCAACTGGCGCCTGGTGGCTGAGTCAAGCGTCTGATGGGCACAATAACTAGTCCCCTGTACTGCATATATTATCAATATGTTAAATAAATGTTAAAATTACTAATAATTTTAATATAAAAAATGCAAAAATATTAAAGAGCACAACTTTATTGATATTTACTCCACTGGAAACATATGTAAACATAGAACAGATTACTGAATTGGCAGTCTAACCTATCAGCTGATGCTCACAACAAGACGTGATGTTCGTAAGGATTTCGTTAATCAAATTTTTTTCGTTAACCGAATTGAAGATTCTTATGGAAGGTAAATCGTGAACCAAAATTTTGCTAATCGAACTGTTCGTTAACCGAGCGACCATTGTACAGTTGAGTCTGCATTTATGCGGTTTTCGTTTATGCGGTACTTTGCTAGAAGCGGGATGCTTGATTTACGCGGTAAATTTGTTCATTTACACGGATAGCGACTGGCGGTCCTTTTATGTTGCGCCATTTTTTGATTCAAACCTCCCGCCATCTCCCGCCATCCCACCATGTTGGGTAAGCGGTGAGAGTAGGTTGCGCAGAGTATGTCGCTGTTGCGTTATCGGTGACGTCATATGACGTATCGGACTGTGATTGGACCACGCATCCTTACCTCCCTCCGCCGCTAGCTGTGATTGGTTTAATGTAATATGACGTGCTCTGTTGCTGGAGGGATGAAGCCGCTGACCTAGCCGCGTCAGTTACAACCCTTCCAGTCACCCCGTGTACACTGTGTTCTATTGTTCGGATAATCTCGTAAGAATGGCTTCCACTGGACCCCCACCACCACAAAAAACCTTGCATTACCTGGACCCAGCCGTCCTAAGCCAAAGAAGATACGACGTGCCCTAAGTTACGATGTGAAGTACAGTATAATACAAGAGTTAGGAAAAGGAACAAGACAGGTTGATCTCGCGAGCCAGCATGGTGTTAACGAATTTACGATCCAGACGATCAAGAAGGATGCAGCCAAGATAAAAGAACACATGAACATCACAAACTCTACAGGTGCTTCAATGATCAAGTATTGCCACAGCAAGGTGCTTCTCAAGACTGAGAATTTACTTGTGAGCTACTTGATTCGTCAGGCACGACGGAACATGGCGGTGGACACGCGGTCGTTCAAGAGCACGCACGTGAACTGTACGTAGCAGTGGTATGTAAGATGGGAATTGCAGAGCCCAAACCCTTCAATGCTTCCTCTGGGTGGCTGCAAGGGTTTAAGAAGAGGAACACGATCACCAACATTAACATTGGTGGTGAAGGAGCGAGTGCTGACCGTGTTGCGGCTAGGGATTTTCCTCAATTCTTACATGAGGTTATGGAGGAAGGACAGTACACCGATGACCAGGTGTTCAACGTGGATGAATCCGGTCTGTTTTGGAAAAAGCTACCTTCCAAGACCTTCATTGTCAAGACTGCCAGCAAGTGTCGGGGCCAGAAGTTGCAGAAGGAGCGCATCACCGTCCTGATTACCACCAATGCCTCTGGTACCTGTAAGCTCAAGTTATTGGTGATCCACACAGCCCGCAAGCCGCACGCCTACAAGAACATGGACATGACCAAGCTAAATGTCCACTGGCTAACCGCACGTAAGGCGTGGATGTTCTCTACTCTGTCCCTCTCCTGGTTTGGCGACTGTTTCGTTCCCGACGTCAAGAAATTCTGCAAGCAACAGAATGTTCCATTCAACATTTTGTTGTTCCTTGACAGCGCACCAGGACACTCGCCGCTACTGGTGGATCGTCACCCCAACGTAAAAGTTGTCTTCCTTCCTCCCAACACTACGTCGTTAATCCAGCCCATGGACCAGGAGTTGAAATGCAACGTTAAGGCTGCATTCTCTACAAAGAAGTTTAAGCTCCTGAACAACTGTACCAACACCAAGGATGAGTTGCGTAACCTGGGTGACACCGATAGCGAGAGCGAAGAGGACGAGGAACAAGAGTTGGCGGATCAAGAAGTTCGCGTCAAACAGTTTTGGAAGAAATTTAACGTCAAGAAAGCTGTTGACTTCTTGGTGGAGGCATGGGATCAGCCGTCTGTAGGAACGATTCGTCATGCATGGCGGCATGTGTTGCAAGGTATCCCAGGTGGGAGGCAGAGTCAATCTGTGACTGGTGAGGTTCAGACTGTTGCAGTAGCAGTGGACCTTGCCAGAGAAGCTGCGCAGACTGTTACAGTTCCAGGCTTCTCCGAGACCACCAACGACGACATCCTGGAGGTGATCAGAGATCCTGAAGTGACTGCCGACGAGATGGTAGAAGACAATAACGTCAGTGAAGAGGCAGGTGGTGCGTCATCCCAAGAAGAACACAAGTTAACGCATGGTAATGTTAAGGATGCCATCGAGTGTGTAGAGAAACTGAAGCTCATCCTTTCCAATGACCATGACGATAACCGCTATGAAGTCTTCAATAACCAGCTGTTGCACACTATGGAGCCGTACATCAAGGTGTATCACGACAACATCAACACTAGCCGTCAGCGTAACATCACCGACTTCTTCGCCCGCAACCCACCACAGCCAGCCCAAGCCAGTGATAGTGACAGTGATGGTGACTTTGAGGGATTTGTCAGGGAGGCCCTGACAACTGTGGTGGATAGTGATGGTGATTCACCTGAGGGCCAGTAGTCTGCCCTCTGCCTCAGAACCAGCCTCCATCCCCATACGCCGACCCATCTCTTCTACTAACATAAGTGTTAAACCTAACCTAACCTTGATTTTTTCGAACCTAACCTAACGTAAGTGTTAAACCTAACCTAACCTTGATTTTTTCGAACCTAACCTAACGTAAGTGTTAAACCTTGATTTTTCTTTTACCTGGTACAGTATATTATTCTCTTATTGATATTTCTCTTCTATATTATGTGTGTGTGCATACCATCATAAAGTTAAGATACTATTTTTACTACAACGTACGTATTGTGTCAGAAAAAGTGGAGTTTGGGGGTCGGCCCAGTCTCTATTTCAATTAATCCCATATGTTCTGTTATTTCATTTACGCGTTTCTTGTTTTACGTGGTACAATGCGGGTTCAATTGACCGCGTAAATGAAGACCCAACTGTAGTTGGTACTTGGGGGCTAAACTATAGTTGGCACTTGAGGCTAACCTATAGTTGGCACTTGGGGGTTAACGTATAAGTGTCTCAGTGCACTTATAGGAGAACACTTAAGTGAGGTGTTCACTGGGTAACAGGTGATATGATAGTCTCTCTCACACTAGGGAGAGAGGGTGGACAGGCCAGGCCTCGAAAGGAAACGCATTAGATGTGTTGTTGCTGAGATGCGCTGATCCAGCCTCACCTCGCTCGCTCCCCGGAGGAAATGTCAACTCGCCAAGTCATTCATACACATTGGTGAATGACTTGGTATTATACATTTGGGTAAATATTTATATAATAGAAATGGTGCAGTTACAGGGGTCTAAACTATAGTTGGCACTTGGGGTCTAAACTATAGTTGGCACTTGGGGTCTAAACTATAGTTGGCACTTGGGGTCTAAACTATAGTTGGCACTTGGGGTCTAAACTATAGTTGGCACTTGGGGTCTAAACTATAGTTGGCATGAGGGTCTAAACTATAGTTAGCGCCAGGTCTAAACTATAGTTGGCATAGTCCTAAACTATAGTTGGCACTTGGGGTCTAAACTATAGTTGGCACTTGGGGTCTAAACTATAGTTGGCACTTGGGGTCTAAACTATAGTTGGCACTTGGGGTCTAAACTATAGTTGGCACTTGGGGTCTAAACTATAGTTGGCACTTAAGTCTAAACTATAGTTGGCCTTGGGGTCTAAACTATAGTTGGCACTTGGAGTCTAAACTATAGTTGGCACTTGGGGTCTGAACTATAGTTGGCACTTCAGGGTCTAAACTATGTAGTTGGCACTTGGGGTCTAAACTATAGTTGGTTGCCAGAGGTTTAAACTATAGTTGGCACTTGGGGTCTAGCTACAGGTGGCACTTGGGGTCCTAAACTATAGTTGGCTTGTGGTCCTGAAACTATAGTTGGCACTTGGGGCTAACCTATAGTTGGCACTTGGGGCTAACCTATAGTTGGCACTTAGAGGTCTAAACTATAGTTGGCACTTGTGGTCCCTAAACCCATAGTTGGCACTTGAGGCTAACCTATAGTTGGCACTTGGGG